CTCTGAACATATACCATATAGGTAATTGTGTCCTAAGTGAAAAACGATGTCCTAATGTGTTGTTCTTTCCTTTTCGATGATCAACAGTACTTTCCTCTTCTGTTCAACCTCTGAATTCCACAGTCAATGTCAAGTCTGATATGGTAACTGAACTTACAACTCGACTAGGACTTGTTTTGTTACCGAAATATGCCAATTGACAAAAATATATCTCACACACTTATCCGAAAGTTCAAGTTGTTTGATAACTACATATCCATCCATTTATACTTAATCACTTTTTCATTCGAATTCGACGTAGAACAAATGACCCTTGTAAAAAATAGGCCTCATCCCGCATATATGAACCTTGCCATCCTTAAGGTTTGTGTGGGGGTGTGTTACATATAACAATTTATTTAGCGCTGATTGTGAATCATACAATGGCAAAGATTCTAGTCTTGATACACTTAAATCACTAATAAGCATTAGAACACTAAAGGCATGAATCATTTTTCTCTTTGTTTTTTATTTTATTTTATTTTTCTTCTTTTTAATTAGTTATCATTAAATTTGTATGTCTTCAAAATTATTTGAGTTAAAAAAACAATTTGTTTGAATAATAAAGTCGCGTGCCAGTGCATGGGAGAGAATATGCAGCTAATACATAAACACTAAGTGATAACGGTACTGTGCGAGAGAGAATATCAAGTGTCATTATATAATTGCTTACAAGGAAAATGCAATTTATAATTTAAATAGTCTAAATAAAAATTGAAATTACACACTTGCCCTTTCTCAATAAGAAATTACAACTCACAAGTCCATACGCTCTCTGCTGTTGAAAACTGCGTAATAGCATCATCTGTTACTGTTTGTCCTTCGTTGTGTGTAAAGGATCCATATATATATAGATATATATATGATCAGCTGAAATTTTCAATTAACTAATTGAAAAACTATAATGATTTTTGAAATCCAATTGGTTGATGTGATAAAATTGCAAAGAACTTAATTTGAGAGGAATTTCTTCTATTAATTTTTTCAGAAGTTGATTGGATGAGAAGAAAGTGTTTTACTGAGAGGGTGAGATAAAACAATTTCTTCTATTAAACTCTTATTTCTGTAAACAGTACAATGTGCCTCACCCACTCTTAACTTTTTTCTCAAATTTATTGGATAATATTGGAAGTATAAAAGGTATCACATTAACTTTAGTTTTCTCTAAAATTTTTGATATAAATATGAAATATATATACATACAAACTCAGTAATATAAAACAATTAAAAATGCCCACAAAATCACGCATTACATGTTTTTTTTTTTGGGTTAGTCTACACATTTTGAAATGAGTTTTTAGACATTATACAGTGGAACGACATTATTTAAAATAAAAGCGCAGCAGTTTTTGTTCTAGCTTTCTTTTGTCTTTTTCTTTTTTTGCAAGCTATAGAAGTGGGCCTCAACCTTAAAATTTTTTCAGGCCTCAGCCCATGGGCTTCCTTTGAATTGAGTCCAGGGCCGAAATTCTCTATCCAGTAATTCATTCCTCTGAAGCCCTAGAAATGGTGTTCATTCCTCTGAAGCCCTAGAAATGGTGTTTTCAATATATACATAAAGTTGGCCCATTGTTAAGGCCTTTAAGTCCACCATAGGTCCATAAGATAGCTTTTTTTTTTTTTTTTTTTTTCTTAAACTTAAAATAAGAATTATATTTAGGGTTACATTTTAGGCAAATAATACCCTTATTTTTTTATACTCTGTTTAGTAGGAAGAAAGGAAGAGGGGCGGATGGAAGATAGGAAAGAAGAAATAAATTTTTTTTGTTTGGTATAAAGGAGGTAAAGAGACAAGAGAAAATAGGAAGGATGAGTCATCCTTCCTCTTTCACAAATTTTTATCTCTCCAAATATGGGCGGAAAACACAAATTAAGGGCCCCCGAGGGCTTGGATGAGTTGGTAAGGTGAGGGCTTTGGCTATCAATGGCCAGAGTTCGAGCCTTCCCTTCTCCTTTATTACTCTCGACTTACCTTGCTACTTATAATGTGGGGCCAGCGTCGGCAGCCGTGTTTTACTTGATAGTTACATGTCCAAAGGGTGGGTGGTTGCGAGGGTTCCACGTCAAAAGAAAAAAAAAAAAAAGAGGAAGAAAGACAAGATTATTGTAAATGTTTTTAAATTACAAAACTTTCTTTTAAAATGTTTTTATATTACAATGCTTTTCTTATAATTAGCACTTTCATATAAGTCCGTTAAATTTGAAAAAAGGAAAATGATATTATTGACTACTTTAATATCCCAACTTAAAACCGACAAATATAAAAATATGATGTATTATTCTAAAACTCCAACTTAAATTAGTATACTCTTGTTTGTTTCCATAAAATACGTTCATTTCTCTTTTGTTATCTTTTTAGTTTTCTATAACCGTAACATCCTCTTTTTTTTTTTTTTTTTTTTTTCTACAACAACTTTAATGGTACTCAAATATAAGAATTTGATTGGTACAAAATCTAGAATAAAACTGAAATGTTTTACAATTTTTCAATGCTTTGCAATTTTTCTTTAAATTCTTCTCTTCATTAATTTTGATCATTATAGCAATGAACAAATACCTATCAAAGTAATGGATAGATATTAATGATTAAAGACACAATCTGTCTTTTATATATAAAGAGAGATGCAAAATCTAATCAGAGATGCAATCTTAAGTATCCCAAAGAGAGATGCAATGTGATATATATGTGTGTGTGTATATATATAACACATATATAATTTGATATACATGATCATTGAAACTTTAATTCCCAACAAAGATACTATATTAAGATGAAACATAGAAAAAGGGATTACAACTTTTCAAATAGTTAATTACCTAATATATTAAAATGGGTCATATTATATTTGACATATAGGTAGCCACATAGACTAGGTGAAATAATAGGTTTTTATTTGTCAGGATAAATAGCAGGACTCTTGAAAATTGGCAAAAAAAAAAAAAAAAAAAAAAAAATTGACTTAATTAGTATAATTAGTCAGAAAATCACATTTAAGATTATTTTAAGTAATATATTTCTTAACACACCTTTTTGTTCTCCCCAAAACACCCCCAATGTTTACATTTGGGGCAAATAGCACCCCTATCCTCTATATTTACGGTGACGCATTTTAATCATTTTACATCTACTTAGTTTTTCACATTTTTTTTCTTCTTCAGTTACATAAGGGCACTATAGTTTTTTAATCGCTCCAATGACAACAGGTCCTTGTTTGCACCAAAAGTAAAAGTTAGGGAATTTTAAGAACTTATGACTCTTATATTTATATATATAATAAAAAGGAGGCTTCGGACTTCACTTTTATACAATTACACTCCATTTAAGAATATAATAATAGAACAATGCTTACCCCAGGCAGTATAAGTAGGAATGTCATTATGATACTGACATGGATCAATAAAAATACGGTATATGTCAAAAAAAAAAAAAAAAAATTTAATAAAAATTGTTTGGACCTTTTTGCGATCATCCAAAAGGAAATATATATTTTTTCCCTTATACGTTTAAGATTTTCTATTGCAAACCTTTCATATTGCAATCCGATACAGAAGAAGCTAAACAATTAGCCAAAACATGGTAAAATAACCATAATTATAAGACTCCAATTATCAATGGAGTTTAAGGAAATTAATTTGACTTCAGATTACAATATGTGTTGATAAATCTCGCTAGAGTTATACGTATTTATTAATTGGTCGGCCTTTTGAGTTATTCTGGAGATGGGGTTGCAATAGAAATGGCAAACAATGGATGTGGTTGTTTGAATCATCTCTAAAGATTGTATGTAAAAGATTAGGGTTTGGGAATAGAGGAGGTGGCAAACAGTGGAGGTGGTGGAGGTTGGTTGGCGGAGTAGAGAATTAATATTAGAGTTTTAGAATTGCGCAGATGGTGGGCAATGGGTATCAATGGAGATTTGGTGGGAAAAGAGAAGGAATAGTAAGTTAAAGAGACGGAGAGTCGGCTACTCTCACACAAGAGAAAATCCTCTTCCTTTTTTTGAAGATCCGTGAAAAAATTCAAATGATTCTGGTTTATTTTTTATTTTTGACACATGTCATGTTATTATTGGTCCATGTCAACATAAGAAAAAAACCTTGCTTTTGTGGCCTAAGACAAACTTTTTCCATAACAATAAGGTCACTTAACTTGTAGTTTTCTCTCTCTACCATGGAGTACTTCTGTTTTCTTCAGGAAGACCGTCTATTTTATATATTTTGTGTTCATTATGCACATTTTTGTGTTATACATCATTCATATGCAAACTTGGGAAACCAAAGAGTAATTTTGGCAACTCTTGGCCTACCCTCTTAATAAATAAATTACAAAAGACTTAGACCTCGATCTAGATTATGACAACCCTAAATGGTAGATGACCCATATCAACATCAATTTGGTCATTGAAAGAAACTATAGTTCCTGCATAGGTTCACGCTTCTCACAAGGCATTTCTTCAAGGTCATTATGTTTGGTTTCCTCACAAAATTTGCACGGAGTATCTCTCTCTCTCTCTCTCTCTCTCTCTCTCTCTGTATTTGTTTGAGAATGTGTTTGTATGGTAGTTGTGGTATTTAAAAAGTAATAATTATTTATTTAAAAAATTAAAATTAAAAATCTCATTACTTTTAAAAATGGAGTGCTGACTCCAAATAAATAAAACAAAACGACTCTACTAGTAGAATAATTAATAATTAATTTTTGCTATTAGAGTAGAAAAATACTCCAATTGGATCCTTTGGGAAAATGTTTGAACAACTAGAGCTCAATTTCAGGGGTAAAATGACTCCCTATTTGAAAATTGATATGCAATAAAGTAGTATTCCCATTTTTATTTTATTTTTTTAAACTTCCCAAAAAAAAATAATAATAATAATAGAAATTGTTCCCAATTTTCCCACTACTCCCTTGAGTTATGTATTTACTTTTCTCTGACTTCCAAATGCAACCAAACCCATCAAAATCATCATACACGAAGCATATTATTAAAAGAACAAATATTACATAAAGTTAGCAGCAAGATATAGTAAATAATTTATTTATCCAAAGACTAGACCTCTAAATCTCAAATTAAAAAAAGCAGTCAGTACAAAATGTCTTTATTCGCTTTTTTATAGTAGTGTCCACAGTCCTCTGTCCCACTTGTAGTCTTCTTGTGCATGTATCTGTAGTAGATGTACTGCAACAGTATCTTTTGTGGTGTTTGTTAAGGTGTACAGTGGAAGTGTGAAACAATATCAATAATATATGAACACACACACACACACATATATATATATATGTATGAGTCCATATATCGTTCGATACGTACTGCATCCTAATCACATGTGTGTACGTGATGTGAAAGGTCGTAATAGTACTATACTGCACCTAATTACTATTATGTATATATATAATATTAACACGACTTTAAACATAATTAGGAAACCTTGGGAGTGAATGAACAAAAAGAATAAGCAGAAGGATACAAATAAGTCAAGCCCCACACAAACTACAGCATCCAGCAACCAAGGCATGTTGGCTTTAGTCTTTTCCCATTCAGTGGTCCTTACAACAATGCTGCATCAAATTCCACAAGAATTAGAGCGCGCACACACATATATACATACATAAATATATATAATTAATCATGCATATATATATATATATATATATAGAGAGAGAGAGAGAGAGAGAGAGCATGCCTTCCAACATAAGTGACATTAGCAATGAGTGCAAAGACGAACATAAGAGGATTCAAGCCCTATACAATATTCAAACGAGATGTTAATTAAGTTCCTCAATTAATTAAGCACTACAAGGTAAATTAATCATTTATGCTTTGAATAAATTAAATAATCCAATAGTAAGAGAATCACCTCCACACTCCCTCTTTTAATCTGGTCATGAACAAATGAAACTTCTATTAGATAAAAGTTGAAAGATATCATATATATATATATATATATATATATTTGAAAGTTCAAGCAAACACGCACACACTTAGTCTACCGGACTCAAATTGCTACTTACATTTAAGCATATTTGAGGGATCCGACCGCCCATGTATATAGCAGCCATCATCCATCCCAACAATTGGCCATAGGCATTGCTCTCTTCCCCATGTTCCTGCAAGCAACACAACGAATCCAAGAAATAAGCACATTTGAAATACTTGATATTATAAAATTCATGATCAATATTATTTCTTTTGCAATCAATATCAATTATACATGTAGGAGTCTTCTTGAAGTACTAAATCCGACGTAAACTTCCATCAAAGCCATACTCCCTTTGGGCAAATTGGCCGACGCAGCGAGGAATGCTCCATAACCAGCCTGAAAATATATATACAATGACATATATTACTAAAAGAAAAAGGGTGAATTATTTCACATACCAAAACATTGCTCTTTTTTGAGCCTCGGTGTTTTTTAATAGGTTAATACGTGACATGTTTTATTCAGTTTTTTAAAAACAGTTTTAAAAAATGTAAAATAAAATAAAATAAAATTGAGGCAATTATAAGAGACTATTATATTTTCATGTCTAATTAAGATGACTAACTTGGTAACTGGGAATAAAATCTTAATTTAGAGACTCACAGATCGTGGTATTGTCTTAGGCTGGCTAATACTTTTGTTGGACGAAAATTGAAAAGTTGTTTCATCCTCGGACGATGAGTCGTTGTCAAGTCCCATGGCTGAGGGACCACTTTGAGCAGCCCTTAGATAAGATCGAATAGGTGGAGTGCTGCTGCTCGCCAACGATCTCGCCGATCTACAAAATTAATTTGTCAGCATCGAAGGAAAAGCCGAACAAAAAATACTATGTTCGGTAGCATGGAATCGAAAATAGTTTGAATAAACATAAATCATTTGAATCCAATACCGTTTGTGGAACGGAACGATCTAGTGCACAACAGAAAGTGAAAATCAACCCACTAGACTATAAGAATGTAATTTGGGTTCAAATTCAAGTGGGGACTATCATTAAATCAACAAATATATCAATATTGAGGTATCTACATCTGTATATATATATACACACACACAAATATACACGCACGTGTAGTAAAATGCTTTAGGTGTGCCACCAGTGATGGGAATTCCTGACTCAGCTGACTTTTGAGGTTTCAAGGGTTCTTTGACCTCTTCAACCTGTGAAAACATATTTTGTTAACCACCTTATAGAAATTGTGTGTCTTCAAATAAAAATTATACACACATAAATATAGGCAATTATGCATAAAAGGAATATAAATCAGACTAATTAAAATTGTACCGGTTGATTAACTTCAATCCTTTGGCTTTTCAACCATCTATACACGTGATCATAGTACAAACTCTGCAACACTAACACTATGGTACTCGTCGTGTAAAGCTACAAAAATATATATACAAAGAAGCTTGAATTAAAATTAGTATCCATCCATTAAAAAAACACAAGTTATGTATATGAAAATCACGAGTTCAAAACTAAAAACAATAACGAACACAAGATTGTGTAACCTCATTTAGAACCCGTAATGGTGAGGTCTCGTGTATAGTGTATTGAGCTAAATATTTCCTCCATTCTAAAAAGAGTTATGTCATACAGTTTTTTTAAACGGAAAGAGTATATATTTAGATAAATGGTATGACAAATATAAATGTCATACAACTAAATATATATCCCTTTCGTTTCAAAAATAATGTACGACATGACTCTTTTTATATATATATAATTATGAAACAAGAAAGTGAAATTACCAAAGCTGTGTAGAACTGGGTAGGCAACTGCATCCACGACATGAAAAAAGAAAAAAATAGTAATGAGACAGAAATATATATATATATATATATATAGAGAGAGAGAGAGAGAGAGAGCTGTCCACTGTCATGATGTTTCTAGTCTGCAAAGCAACATGGCTCTGAGCCTGAGACTGCTTCGGGTTGATCACTTTAAACTATATTATCATTATATATCTACCAAAATTAATATACATATCACCAAAAAAGAAGATGACTTACTGTTGCTGGCTCAAGAAAACAACCCACTAGATTAAAAACGTCACTGCACTAAGAAAAAAACAACAAAATTAATTAGTATTCAAAAGAGACAAATCAAGTTAGTTTTGAGAAATTAAACAAATTTTAGTATTAAATGTGAACCAAGTTTGGCTTAGAAGAGGACAAATTACCCAGCGACCCAAGTGAGGAGGAACAAAATAGAGACTCCATGGCTGGACTTGGTGCGAAAGTTGGTGATGATCTGTGGAATTTCTGCAACTCCCCAGCAAACCAGACTCACAAGCCCTAATCCGAAAGAGATTTCATCGCTCAGATTGCACAGACAGTCCTTGAAAGCTTTATCAACCCATCCCACACAAGGCTTCCTCTCGTTCACACAATAAGCAAGTGGATTCCCCAAGGGCTTCATGTCTCTCTGTTTCTCTCTCTCACACACACACACACTACTCTGTTTCTCTCTCTAGCTAGGAGCTAGTGATGTAGTTAATTGGTGAGGTTGAATGTGGATTTAAAGGGAGGGAGAGTTGAAAGTTGATCGACTCTCTTGGGAATTATTGGGACCCACGTGTCGCCACCGCTGCACCGCATAAGTTTTGCTTTCCAATTCTTTTTGCAAATTCAATTTGGTTTTAGATTGAGTTGTTGAATAATCATAATCTTTATTTGTGGTATTATTGACGCGTAAAAAATGAAAAGATTTGAGATGAAACCATCCAATTTCTATCCCATTTGTGTTCTGAATTATTGTTTTATAAAATTTAAAAAGAAGTAATAAAATTTTTTTATATAGTTTTGAATTTTAAGTGTTGAAGTCTTGTCACTGACTTTAAGTGACCCTCATTTGTATGAAGTTACTTTCTAATAACATGATTAAATTCAGTACATTAAATGAGCAGAAATTAATTGCTGAGTTTGGCTATCCAAGCACTGAACTGTTTGCTAAAACAAGTAACAATGTAGCATGGCAGGAAGTGGCCGTGCAAGGGTCGGCATATTCTTCATTTTATGCTTCATATTATATCTATCATCCTATATATATATATATATTTGTGTAGGACGCATATTCTTGTGGTGGATTCTTTGAACTATCCCATATTAATTTTGAAGGGTCATGTACCCCATTGGTTGGTTGAATTGTCGTATGTCAGTGGACCAAACATTTCTAAACAGCAAATTGCTTACAAGGGTCTAATTTATAAAATCCAGTCTCTCTCGACGGTTGTAAATGTGAAGAGGAATCAACGGCCAGCAATGACTTGGATCCTTGTGTTAAAATATGCTAGCGATAATGTGCACATCGTGTGTGTGTAGTGTGTGGATTTGTATATGTTAAAGAATGAGAAGATAAGACATTTTAGTATTATTATATCTTTTTGGCTTATTTAAATATATCTTATTAGTGCAGGTGTTGTGCTATCTCAACCGTATATGGTGTGTATTGTTGGTGGCCTCTGGCTCGTATTCAAAATTCATCAGCATTATTATTATTTTTTTCTATTAACATTTAACTTCCTAATTCCACTAATTATTGATTTGAAGATATTTAATTATCACTCATCATCCATTAACTCTGTAACTCTGTATAACTATTGCAACGAATTTATGTAAAAGTAAAATTACATAAATTTGATTTTTTCAAGATTTAACCATGAATTTCTTCGTCTTTGCACTGAACTTACCTCATTTTAATATTTTTTAATTGCACTTGACATAAACTAATATTGAATAATTCTTAAGTTTTTTTTTTGCATATTTTATTTTTATTTTTATTTTTAATTAACTTAGTATTAGCTCACAATAAACATCATCTTCACCATTTAAAGTAACAATGAATTGAAGAACACCGTGAATAGATGGTGAAGATCTATATTAAATATTATGGAGTCTTTTTTTTTTGAAGTTGGTGCTGTCATAACTTTTTTCTTGACTGATTTCGTTGGATCAAATAATAGCAAATGAAAAAAAAATGACAGGGCAACCTTATCAAAGAAGGGTGTTATATACAACACTACTTTGAACTTATCCATTATAAGGTCCAAATTCATGAAATCAACGACAAGATAACCTTGGCCTAGGTAGGATGGTACATTAAATTTGGTCCTACTGGTATTGAGTGGCCAAGGGTATTATGCATTGGACTCTTTTTACTTAGGATTGCAATTCGGATGGATTGAGCGAATTTGAGGAAAAAAAAAAAAAATGACAAGGCAATCTTATCAAGGAAGGATGTTATATACAACAATTCTTTGAACATACCCGTTATAATATCCAAATTCATGAAATCAAACAACAAGATAACCTTGGCCAAGGTAGGATGGTACTTTAAATTTGGTCCTACCTGTATTTAGTGGCCAGGAGTACTATGCATTGGACTCAACTCATCATTTTACTTTTAAATTAAGGCTTGTAACTTGGGATTAGATTTTGGATTAAAATTTTAGGTTAATTCATATTACTTGTATAGCTAATCGTTATACCGAAATTTTAATATGAGATTGAATAGTGTTAGATTAAATTATTTAAAGGACCAATTGGCCCAGCGGAATTACCCCTTTCTTCCTAAAAGAGAGGTCGGGAGTTCGAACCTCGGTGGAGGTAGGGTGTGTGAGTAATTGCTTTAACTTTCAAAAAAAAAAAAAAAGAAGAAGAAGAAGAAGAATAACTTAAAAAAAAATTAATTCTCTTAAATGTTAACATACCGATAAGTTAAGATATAACCAAAAAAAGAAAAAAAAAAATATAAGTTTAAATATTATATATAATGTATTTAAAAGTAAAAATATATATATAAATAATATTAGAATTCGGGTTCGAGTTGGCTCGGGTTACTAGCACTTTAACCCAAATCCAACCCTAATTATAAAAATGATTAGCCAGGTTCGTACAAAATCAGGTTGGCCTCGAGTTGAGTTCGGGTTATCCAACCCAAATGTTAACATACCAATCAAACGACAAGATAATCTTAGCCAAGGTAGGATGGTTCTTTAAATTTGGTCCTACTAGTATTGAGTGGCCGGGGGCATTATGCATCGGACTCTTTTTAACTAGGGTTGTAATTTAAGCAGATTTGAGATATAATTTAAGCTCAACCCATCATATAAAATGCTAAGTATTAGTCCAACCCTAACCATATCCTCAACCTTAACTTTTCAACCTGAACTCAACCCGTCCTTTTACTTTCAAATTCGGACTTACAACTCAAGGTTAGATTTCGGAATAAAATTTTGGGTTAATTCGAGTTACTCATATTACTGGTTAATTCGAGTTACTCATACTACTGATTGCTATATCAAAAATTTAATATGATATTGAATTAGTTTTAGATTAAATTACTCTTAAGAAAGAAGTTTTAAATTTTTTTTTTGTAAATTTTTAATAAATTCTAAACAAATTTTTAGAAAACTAATTCTCCTAAATGTTAACATACAATAAGTTAAGATTTAACAAAAAAAAAAGAAAGTTGAAAAAGAAGAGTAATCAAAGTTTAAATATTATATATATGAAAATAATATTAGAATTCAGGTTCGGGTTGACTCGGGTTAGCGGGTTCGGATTACTAGCACTTCAATCCAAGCCCAACCCTAATTAAATTTGGGTTAAAATTTTTTAATCCCAATCCTAATTATAAAAATGATTACCCAAGTACGTAAAAAATTGGATTGGGCTCGGGGTTAGGTTTAAATTATTCAACCCAAATTGTACCCCTATTTTTTACGGTAAGCATTGTGTATGCATGAACATATAGTCAGCTTGTACGACTCAAATAAGTCTCGTGCACAATACACTGGATGAGTCTTTACTACTGACAGCTAAATATATAGTCTCAAGAATCATCGAAGCTCTACTTGCAAGTGAAGATTTTCATTTCAAGTGATTCAAAATGAAAAAACACCTGTATATTTTACTGCAAGAATGTTTTCACTTCGTTTTTTAGTGTTTGGTGTAAATGAAAAATATCAAAGCAACAGGGAGTTTTAAAAAGTGAGAGAGAAAAGAAAAAACAAAAATGGTAGTAAAATAAAGTTTAATTACACGTCACGGTGAGGGTGGGACGGATAGCATCATAGCAACAGGCTTAAGATAAGGGAAGGGCTATCCTAAACGACAAATGGCGGTTTCGGTGCGCTGCAACCTAAGCGCGAAAACAACGTGTCCCTTTTCTAGATCTCTAACACTTTCATGTTTCATGTCTATCTCTGGTTTTTTCTGCAATTATTTTATTTTATTTTATTTATTTTGTAATATTAAATTATAACTCTAAGGTAAAAGGAATAAATAATTTAGAATTTTTTGACTGCTTCATTGATTAAGGTTTTTTTGGGTATATAAAATTTGTCATGCATAAATCAATGTGAAATTGTGAATAGCGAAAAGAGTTAGTTATTTATTTATTTTTTTAAATTGATACTCATACACAATTTTCAAAGAATTATTTACATTTTGTTAGCGTATTTTTTTTTTGACTCACAAGGCTAATAGAGTTTGCGAACGTGTCAGAGTATATATACTGAAATCTAAATAAAGATTGTCACTGAATTTGATTGAATAAAACAAGTATTTTGAATAAAAATAGCATAATTAAACACGGCAAGATTGATTGAATAAAACAAGTATTTTGAATAGAAATAGCATAATTAAACACGGCAAGAAAAGAAAGTCATTGAAACTCAAACTCCTTGGATGATTTTACTAATGATTTTACTAACTACCACTGAAGTCCTAAATAAAATGATTTTACTAACTACAACTGAAGCAACGTAGGAGAAAGGATTAGAAGATGATTTTACTAACTACAACTGAAGTCCTAAATAGAAAGAGAGATATTTGAAGGAAGCTGCATGTGCCAAACAAAGTATATTGGCTTACCAAAAGTCTAATCTAATCCAAATAAGTCAAGAGAAAATAAAGGAAGGAGATTTTTTTAGCAAAGGAAAGAGGACAACTTAGGTAGAAGAAATTTTTATAAATAAAAGAGTTAGTTATTTATTTATTTTTTCAAATTGATAGTCTCACACGCAATTCTCAAAGAATTATTTACATTTTGTTAGCGCGTTTTTTTTTTTGGCTCATACGACTGATGGAGTTTGCAGACGTGTCAGAGTATATATATTGAAATCTAAATAAAGATTGTCACTGAATTTGATTGAATAAAACAAACATTTTGAATAGAAATAACATAATTAAACACGGTAAGAAAAGAAAGTTGCTGAAATTCCTTGAATGAAAATTGTCATTGGACAAAATAAATTGATGAAACAAAGTGACGTAGAGTCGATTTGAAATGCTTGTTTTGGGGCTGTGCTAGATGGATAAAAAGAACGCCATTGAGACTATTGATTGATGATGTATATTAATCACTGGGATAGAATTGACTTTGGAATTGCTTGTTTTGGGGTGGTGCTAGATGGAAAAAAAGAAAGCCATTGAGAATCTTGATTAATGAAGTATTAATCACTGGGATAGAATTGACGTTGAGTGCT